AAATATCAGTTTATAAATGGTCATTTGAAGTACATGCAGACAACTAATTTTAATGTGCTTTTAAAAGTAGATTAATCACAAATTTTAAAATAAAAATATTAAATGAAATGTTTACAGCTTCATATCAATGAGAGGGATGGTATTATTTGTAGTTTTACACCAAGACATTCATATCTCACTCAGGCCATGGGTTAGAATTCACATCCAGCTGGTTTCTTTTCTATTATTTATTCCCTCAAAACTAGAAGATCCTAAATCCCAGCTAGAAATTGCCAGGAATGACAGTAAGTATGTTGGATGGTTGTTAAATGGTTCTCTGTATTTGATTCACATGTGGATCTAGAAATTGTGGAGAAATTTTTCACATAAAGGAGAAGTGAGTCTTGGTATTTCCATAGTCTTCTGGATACTAACTGAATAACATTTACAGAAAAAGGAATGGTGTGCTGCCTGAACCTGAGAGACTGTGGCAAATGAAATCTAGATCCTCAACTGAGTTGTATTGGGCTCCAGAAATCAGTCTTGTATGTTTGATTATGGTTTATTTGTGTGCCATTAAAACATGCCCAAGGATACATCAATAATTTATTTCTCTTATCAAGGAAGGATGTCACCAAGTTTGCAAAGAACCAAACTGGGAACGATCAAGTGATTCATATCACATTTCATCTAGCTCAGACTAGGTAAGACAGCTTCTGCTAAGCTCTGCCACTTAAAATCTAAGAAATGGGCTGGGATTGTGGCTTAGTGATAGAGTGCTTGCCTAGCATGTTTGAGGCGCTGGGTTCATATCTCAGCACCGCATATAAATAAACAAATAAAGATCCATCAACAACTAATAAAATTTTTAAAAATCTAAGAAATGGTTTATACTGATTTTTTAATGTTACAAATAAATGTTTTTAACTCCTCTTTTGTTCCAGAAACTTTTGAGCACCTTCCTCATCAACTGCCATCAGCCTTCAGTCAGGAAAAAGTCCTCTTAAATTTGCTGCCCATTTCTTTGCACAGAACATGAAATATGTATATTCAGTTGTCGTGTTTTGATCACATCCACAATTTTCTCTACTTCCCTCAGACTCTGCATTTTAAAAAATGACTTATTGTCACCACAAACTATCCTCTTTGAATAAAGCAGTGAGGACAAGCATTTTGATCCAACCATTTTTACTCACATAATGAATTCCTTGCTTACTCACTTGTGGTTAGCCCTTCCTCAGTACTAATTCTAGTGTCCCTTCCCATCTATAGCATAACTGATAAAATTATATAGGAAAAAAATCCTTCTCTCTTTAGCATGGATTTTCCAATGAAAAGTCATTGGGCACATTTCCTCTACCCAAGCAGGGTGCAAGTAAATAACTATCTCATATTCTATGTATAAATGATTCTCTTCAAGGAAAATATCTGCTAGCATGCACACCTGCTAGCTTCTGCACATGTTCCTAAAGTGCCATACTGAACCAGCAGCAACAGCATCTGAAAATCAGTGACAGATGTAAATTTATCTGCTCCATCCCAGACCTACTGAATCAGTACCTCTTAGAGACTCGGTGTTCCAGTGATTCTGATACATATTTGAGACCTAACAGTATCATCTAAAAGAATATTGTTGCCAATATTTCATTCTGTTTTCTATTCTAATGTATTCATCATTGACTTTGTAATTATTTTTAAAATGTTTTAACAACAGTGTAGATAGTAATCATTTTGGCTGACTTGTGCCCAAGTTTGAACAAGTCTCTGTTTTGCTATTTTCTCTGACTTCATTGACAATAGCATTCAATACAACACATTGAAAAGCACTGTTTTCCATTTGTTCTGGCAAATCTCAGTTGGTTTACCAGAGAGATCATTTTGTCTTGTTTAAAGTGACCTAAGAGCTTCAAATTATAATTTAACCAAGTTTCATAGAAAAAATAAATGCAGAAAAAAAAGCTTAAAGAATTAGGGTAAATAGACTCCTAAACTACTAAAAAAAAAATTCTGATATTCATCATCATGTGCACATGTTTTGCTGCTGCATGAAGTCCTCATTTTCATATATACTTATTCCAGCACTCACAGATTCATGTTCCATATTTACACTATAATGTTAATTACCAATTTGCAAAGTTTTTCTAAGACAAAAGCTCTTATTTTATATATGTGGCACAAAACTACTTGAGAACCAATGATCTATTTTTATGACTGTGGTAACAAAAAAAATGTAAACTTATCAGAACATGTAAATGATATGAAAACATGCCATAAGCTGTACCATTGTTTTCTAACTGTTAAATACAAGGATGTACTGACTGACACAGTCCTTTTAGTACATTGGCCACCAATGAAAATGTTATAATTATGAAGAATGAAATATGATTTCTGTGAAAATAATCATTAAATGTTTATGCCAAACTTGTAAAATACATATGAGCCAAATTGTTCCATCATATTTTCATCTAAAAGTGCCAAAGAGCCTACAGAACCACACTGCTTTCTAAATCCCATTAGAATTCTGTTTCCTTCCTTCTCTCATCTTCTTCAAGAGTTTCAGTTATTCCAATCTGTTAATCCCTTTTCTTCTCATTTTAACTCAACAACTACAGATTGGGCTCCTCTCTGTGAAACATCCCACAGCTGTTGTGAGCTGGACACAGGTGAAAAACAGTCTCCACACTCCTCAGATCCTCAATGTGACAGAAGGCAATGCCAGGCTCTCTGCTACCAGGCTGACTGTGGAATTCTGAGACCCAGACCAGAGAAAAAAAGCAACGGCTGAAGAAGCCCAGAGGGAGAAGTCAGTCTTGACTCTCCCCCAATACTTAAGAATATACTTGCTAGCTGAAGCTAACTCCTCTATTTGCCCTGCTCTTGCCCTTACTGACACACTTGTCAAAAGCATGGTCTAGGTATCTGGCTTCCATTGCTTCATCGCTTACTTCCTCTTTACCTCCTTGCAACACAGTTCTCAACATTTCAGCATTCTCTGTGGTATTTAACCTCTCCCTGTTTCCCTTCTACTTCCTTGAGTGCCTCTCAAGGGGTGGGGCAGAGTGGGGTACTTATTAGAACTGCTTGTGGGCCTTTGTCAGCCTCCACCTCAGAATCTCCCCAATCACTCTCAACCACCACATATGAATATCCTGCAGAGGACACCACTGCCCAGAATCCCCTGGGGTAGTGCCTCTTTAATATATCAACCTGGCTGGGGGGAACATTTCCCAGAATTTCCTTCCTGCTTAGGGTACACCACAAAAGAGATCTGGCAGAGATATGGAGGGCAGAAGTGAAGCAGTAGCCATTTTAATGCTTTTACATACTGTTCCTTATCTCTTGGCTTGTCTTGTTGATATAAACCAGCAATCAGACCTGCACCTGCTTCACCCACCCCAGACCTTCCTTTAGCTCGTGGAACCCCTGAGCCAGGTATATGTGGCTATACTTGTAGCAGAGGGTCCTGGCTTTTTCAGGACACGCACATCATTAAGATCAGAGGCAACAAGGGCTGACATGAATTTCAGTACATGCTTATGGGTCCCAACTGGTTCTCACTTCTTACCTCCATCCTCCACTTGACATCCACCTTTCTTTCCTGACTCCCTGTCCTGTGCACTTCAAGCTTCAGCGTGAGACACAAAACCAACACCTTATAAAGACTGCTTACCCGACTCCCCCGGTGCATAATTTCAAATCACTGTGACAGATCCCTTCACATGTAGATATTCACTTGAAACCTACCTCATAAACTCCAGATCAACTATGTCAGAAGGACACAGGCCTACAATTACGTATATTAAAAGTGCCCCAGGTATTTCTAACATGGTTAAACATCATCTACTCTGGGTGTAACTCCACATCCAATTGCAAATTGAGAATGATTTAAAATCCTGTTCTGCCCCACATGTGTGTTTTTTCTGATTTACCCCTTTTTCCTTTTCCACTAATCCAGCCCTTACCCTCCTCACAGCTGAATCTCCCGGTCTCTAGTCTTCCCTCCTTCCATTTCACCCCTTCTAAGGCTCCCAGACTGATTTGGAAAAATATGTATAACATCTCTCCATGCTCAAAGGCTTTCAGCAATCCTCTGTCCTCCAGAGACCAAATCTAATCTCCTAATCTGGTATTCAAAGCCCTCCAGATTCTGGTTTCTTCTCACCTGACCAACATATCCTTCTACCCACTTCCTAAAGCCCTGCCTTGAGGGCCTTCTTAACCTCCAACAACCCAAGGAAAAAACTAAGCAGCGGTCACAGAATCAACCAGGAAAGGTCCTCCCCTGGCCTCCTTGAATTCTCAAGCCAACTATCTGGGTAACACCTTCTACCTCTTATATCATACATACCTCCATTTCCCTCCCCTCCCTTCCCAATCCTTCTCACTACCTTCTTTTAATAGCAAGTATCTGAATTTGGGTTCTCATAGTACCAGAGGTCAAAATAAAACCAATTCATTTGTAGAGGTGCCCTTTAGGATAAGCAATAGATGGCTTCTTCTGTTGTGCCCAATTCATTCTATTGCCACTATGACCCTACTCCCACAGCTCAAGGAGGAAGACAGCATTTTGCTAACCCTCCACCATAAAAATAGCCTAAACCAAAGGGACTCTTCACTGGCTCTCCCAGTCAAAGTCAGCACCTGGTCTGTGATACTCAATAAGACCTCAAATGCTAGAATTGTCTATAATATTATATGAACTGGCTTTGAAATTTCCTTGCTCAACATAAAGGATTTCCTTATCCTACAAGTCTCCAGTTGGCACCTTGAAAAGGAGGCCCTACACATAGTACATTTGCAGTCAAAGCTGTCTTTCTCCTGGGGGAGACCCTTATCCCATGATTTTTCTATGATTCCCACTATCATGATATTAATATAAAAAGTAGATATTTGACATCTCCCAAGGCCTACATCCAAGCTTTTTGCTTTAATTTTTCATTTTTGTCTTTTTTATTACCCAGTCATCTACAAAGGTTTATAATGAAAATGTTTTCTCTAGATTTCACCACAAAAATACTCACCCATATTGGTCAGCAAGTCCTCTGGCTTCCTCTTCTTTTACTACTCTCTGGTCTTCCAAATCACTCTTATTTCCACATAACACTATGTCTGGGTTTTCACAATATGCATGCATTTGTAGCTGGCCTAACAATATAAGAAAGTTTATTATAGGCAAATAATAACATAAGCACATGATCAATAAAGAATACATACAAAAGTGTTTTGAAAACCATAAATATATACACATATTTAAGAAACCAATATAATGCTTCAAAGCATCAATAATCTAATCTGTAAAACTGAAAGTATGGGGTAGAAATATAAAACTTTTTCCTGTCCTTAACACATATCTCAGTATTATTTATACAGACTTATAGAAGACTGTGATAACCCTCAAAAGTATGTATACCCATACATACACACACAAAACACTTGTCTTTTAACATTTTCTTTCCATTAGCAATGGCTTTTTTAAAAGAACTATCTTTTTATAGACTAACCTATTTCTACCTAAAACGTCTTTCACCTATTTTTTATTATTATAAGGCAGAATCAACCTATTTAAAACAAACAAGATACAGGATTCAGTAAAGACAGAAGCCACAGAATAAACAGTAAATGATTCTGTCACCAGAACCAAGGGATTGCAATTCTTATCCCAAGACTTTTTCTCTTTTCACCTGAAAACATGTAAGGAGGCATAATTATTAAAAAGCAATGAATCAAAAAAAAGTTCTTCACTATATTAAATAGTCTAATCTCCCAAAGAAGGAAGATAAAGTCTTACTTCTTACATCACAGAAAGGAATTAAAGTAGCCCTGACTTTCACAATGAGGCCTATCTCAAAGTTCATGGCCTAATTTACTTTTTGTCACCATTAACCAAAAGGTTGATAGTTTAGTTCCTCTTTATGAAGTCGTGTCCATTATAGATATAATCAAGAGAAAGTCAGCAGGTATTTCCTAAGAATGAACACAGGCCTGATACTTTGCATGGAATTTCAAGATACTGCCCTTTGCCCTCGAGGGACAGCAGAGGCAACAAAACCCACATAGGCAAAACTAAACTGTGTTTTGCCTGTCTCCAGGAAAGTGGCATCTTTTCCTCCCTCCAGACTGCTGCACATACTGTCCCACACGGGAATATCTAGTCACAACTCTCCTTCAAGACTTGCTCTATGGTCATGTCCACCATGGAGCCTCTATGGTCTCCAGAGGCTCTGTGCTCTGTTAACACCTCAAACGGCTATGCAAATGGACTAATTTGCCTTGGCTTGAATAATGGCTCTTCCTTTTACTAGCCATGTGACCCTGCGGAAGCTATTTGATTGCCTTAGTTCCCTATCTAGAAAAGGTGGTAACGACAATACTTATTTCATAAGGTAAGGATTAAATGAGTTAATTCAGTGATTCTCCAAGTAAGGTCTGTGGATCAGCAGCCTTAGCATCACCTGAGAACTTGTTAGAATGCAAATTATCAGGTCCTACCCCTGATCTATGGAGTCAGGAACAGTGGGTAAAGATGAAGGGAATCTGATTTTTAACAAACCCTCCAGGTGATTCCAACACACACTCACATTTGAGAACCCCAAAATTAATAAATTAAAGCATTTACAACAGCTATGTAAATATTACTAAAAACAATAGTTAATAGTCTTTATTTTAGAAATGTTAGGAGGTATAATTATAGGTGATGTTTTCTTTTTAACTATTTTTCTACCATGTGAATTACTTAAATAAAAAGTAAATTAATAACTTATTTAGAAAATCTCACTAAAGACAAAGGCATATACCTAAATAGCTACAACCTGCGATGGTATGTGATAAGGACCCTACAAACAGTGAAGATTTGAACAAGGATTAAGAGGAAGGGTAAAATTTATTCTGATAAAATTGATCACAGAGAATTTCACAGAGGCTAATTTTTGCCAGATTTTAAAGAACAGGCATAACTCTAATTGGTTTTTTAAATGGTGTGGTTGTAGAGAGGCCTTTCCAGTTAGAAGGGATAATCAAAATAAAAATAGAGGGCAAAATATGAAAAATATATGTTGTTGGGCTCTTATAGCATTTTGTGTGAGGCTACAGAAATTTAGGCTCTTTTAAAGTCTCATTACAAAAGTAGCTGGCCCTGGGTAAGGAACAAATCTGGTCATGCTGCTCACACCTCTGAACTCCAGGAAAGCAGGGGAGTGAGTACACTATCTGATTCCGTTCAGATTTCAATCTGAGTAGGACTTGGCTCATTGTTCAGTCTCCTAAACTGATCCAGGCTCACCCTTAGACTCATCTCCCTCGCCAAAAGGGCATGGAGAGATTCTCACCAGATGAAGAAAGACCTAAGGAACAGCTCTGGGGGAACAAAGGGAGAGTACAGAGCCATACTTCTCTCCCTGGCCAACCAGGGCCCAGGATAGCTACTTCTCTACCTTTGTGCTGACAAGCTATCTACCTACCTACCTATATGCATACATACATTTTAAGCTATTATTTTGACCAAAATTTTTTTAAAAGCAGAAGAAATGGATGATCTCTATAATATTCAAATTGCTAATAGAGGAAAAATAACATATACATATAACTAACAAATTTTCATTTCTAATTAAGATTTTATATTACCACCTCTGACATTCAACATTATTCTTTTTTGTTTATATGGGGGTGAAGCAGGAGAATGCTTCCCATTGAAAAGATAGGAAATCTTTAATATGTTTAAGTTTACCTAACTGGACAATAAGAAATTTTTTTTTTTACTTTCCAAAGAAAATAAAACAAAATACAAACACACATACTCATACTTTTGCATAATTGTTCTTTATCTAACTAGCTAATAGATGGGCAAGATTTCTTTGGCATATATACATAATAGAATATTAGTCAGCATTAAAAGAGAATAAAATCATGGCATTTGCAGGTAAATGGATGGAGTTAGAGAATACAATGCCAAGTGAAGTAAGCCAATCCCAAAAAACCCAAAATCGGAATGTTTTCTTTGATATGAGGATGCTGACTCATAATGGCTATGTGAGGGGGGGCATGGGAGGAATGGAGGAACTTTACATAGGACAAAGGGGAGGGAGGGGAAGGGAGGGGACATGGGTAGGAAAGACAGTGGAATGAGTTAGACATCATTACCCTAAATACATGTATGAAGACACAAATGGTGTGAAAATACTTTATGAACAACCAGTGACTTGAAAAACTGTGCTCTATATATGTAATATGAAATTAATTGCATTCTGGTGTCATATATAACAATTCAGAATAAATAAATAATTTTTAAAAAGATGGGCAAGATTTGTCTAATGTCTCAATTTCAGTTTCTACCTGTGAAAAACAGGTGGGTTCATTATCTTTCAATGCTAAGATTCTATGAGCAATCTCTAGTGGCCCTTACTAAACGTTTTAGAAAACCCCAGGGCTGGGGCTGGGGCTCAGCGGTAGAGCACTTGCCTGGCATGTGTGAGGCACTGGATTCAGTTCTCAGCACCACGTATAAGTAAATAAAGGTCTACCAACAACTAAAAAAAATTTAAAAAAAGAAAACTCCAGAACTTGTTCTGATGATGTGAAGGAGAGGATAACAAATAAGGACTGAGAGATTAGGAACTGCCATCATCATTCAGCTCCGAGAGAAATAGCAAAGTGTGCGAATCAACCAGGCATCTAGCAAAACAAAGCCCAGTAAGCCTAAAAACATTTGGGAAATCCATATTTATAAAGTATTAAATTCTTAGTCATCAACTAACTTGAGAAAGGGCATAAAAGACCATTAAACAGAAAGCCAAAGGCTCCCTGTCCTTGGATAAGTGTATTACTGTCTCAGACTCAGGGTCCTCACCCTGGGATAAGGACACACCTACCAGAATTTCCTTGCTGGGTGATGATGAAGATCAGATACAAAATATGTGAAAATGCTCTGAAGGGCACAGCATGCTAAGTAAATTAAGTTAAAGATTAATTTTTAAAATAAGATTTTTTACTATCAAAAAATAACCAATTGTCCTTTCATAACCCAAGAAAGCAATTTTTAAGAAGTACTTTTAAAATTTTTTTTTTTTATTTTTTAGTTGTAGATGGACATAATACCTTTATTTATTTATTTTTTTTAACGTGGTTCTGGGGAACAAACCCAGTGCCTCACACATGCTAGGCAAGTGACATACCACTGAGCCACAACCCCGGCCCTTAAGTAGTACTTTTTAAAAAATAATTTTTAGTTGTAGATGGACACAACACTTTTATTTTATTTATTTATTTTTATGTGGTGCTGAGGACTGAACCCAGTGCCTCACACATGCTAGGCAAGCGCTCTACCACTGAGCTATAACCCTGCCCTAAGTATTACTTTTAAGTAAGTGTTTTAAAGATTTGGATGTTCAGAATGTAACATCACAGGCTTCTCTAACAGATTCACTAGGGTTATATTAAAATAATCAAAGAAAATGTACATTTGAAAGCTGTTATTTGGTCATACGGTGAGATTTGCCTTTGCTATAAACCAATCATTTCAGAGGTTCAAATCTGTTTAAAAATCCAAAATGAAAGCCCAAAATGAAGGGATGACTTTTGCCAATGCAGTTCTAGAATTTTCCATGTCAGGTTCTCTTAGCAGAAGCTCTAAGCCCAAAAGCAGAGAAGGGGGTTCCAAGAAGAGAAAGGATATAGAGATAGGGTCCAGTAAGCCTTCAACAGATAACTAAATCTATGTAATGTATCCTTAACATTCAGGGATAATACAAGAATTGATAGCACACAAGAGACAAGCGATGCTTAGAGATTTAACTACTTCCCCATATGTAAAATGGGGATAAGAATTTCCTCTGTGCAACAGACTTATTAAATGATGACATTTAAAATGCTTTTTTTGTACCTGGAGCACAGAAGTATCTAACAAATCAGATTTAGTAAAAGCAGAGTATTTTAGTCATTTTTGGTCCTAAGCTAAACACCGTGTTCTTTTAAACAGCATTTACACTAAAAGCTCCTCCAAAAGAATTTGCAACATAAGTAGATATAAGCGGGTATTCTACTCCCTGGTGAAGGCAGCAGAGGCAGGAAAACAATAACACTTACTTATCCAGTTTCGGACATTGAGGAAACTTTGCTCATTCGTCAGATCAAAAAGTAGAAGAAAACCCATAGCATCTCTGAAGAATGCTGTTGTCAAACTACGAAACCTAGGATCATAAAAACAGATTGGTCACCTAAACCACAGCCCCACTCCTGAAATATAAGCTGCTAGCAATGCCCTCAGCCTCTTTACAAAAGCTCCTCAATAACAAATCTCATGATGCCATTCCAAAAGTGCATAGGACCAGCATTTACCACTTATATGTTACTTACTGCTCACATGTGTTAGCAGTCCATGTGATTTGAAAACTAGCCTGCAGGACGGAGTTAAGGAAAACTAGCTCATGATCTCTCAATCTCAGCCAAGAATTTATTGTATAATTACTAGCTAATTAAGCCAAAAGCAAAAATGCTTGCTGTGTAAGTTTTCCTTCTGTGAAAGCTTGACTTGACATTACAAAGTGTTCCGTGATCTTTTAATTCCCTTATCTCTGATAATCATTTCTTTGCTTTAAGGTGGGAATGATATTCCCTACTCTTTCTTGGTACTCTGCCTTGTTCCAAGGCTTTATCCCACTGTCTATTCTCTCTCCTTCTAACAGTTTCTTCTCACTTTGATTATACACACGACAAGCCTGTAACTGGCAGGCTCCAGGGAAGGAAACATTGGTATAAATTCATCATCTAATCAGCAATGTTAGGTTTTTCTCAAACATTTTAACCCATTGCTTACAAGAATTCATTATTTAGAGATACATACCAAAAGAGCTGCAAATGAAATAATACAATTACTCGACTTTGATTCCCAATAATGTGGGAGGAAAGAGTGAGAAGTGCTCATGGGCATACATGAAATAAGACTGTCCACAACTTGATAACTGCTTAAACTGAATAACAGGTACCAGGGTTCACTGTACTAGCCTCTCTACTTTTTGTACATGCTTGAAGTTTTTCATGATAAAATGTTAAAAAAAATAAATAAAATCATTCAAGGAGGCTGTGAGATAAAACAGGCTGTACCTAACTAAAACAACCTTAGATCAAGATGTCATGTGGTTTATTTTAGTCAAGTAACCTCTGACCATACATATTAATTCCAACCAGATTTTCCACTAGATTTCCACCATTAGGTAATAATGCATGTAACTCTGTAACTTTCTTATAGTTGAGTAACAGCAACAGTACATGAAGAAAAGTGTACAAGTCTAAAAAAAAAAAATGAAAGAAAAAGTCCTCAAGTAAGAAGGTCCAATTTGAAAAGGATTCATTTTTCCTTTGTACTTGTATAAAATAATGCCACCATTATCATCTCAGACTAATAAATTTACAGCTAATTTGGTAGCATATCTTATCCAGGTGCAAATCAGCTAATTGGCTAGCTTTCCCTGCTCAGGTCACTGTGTCAAGAGTGTAGCTGTCTCCTTCCAGTCAGGAGCACATAACTGAAGACTGCATACCTCTCCTGCCCAGCTGTGTCCCATAACTGCAGGTGAATTCTCTGGCCTCTGCCAATGGCTCCATCTGGCCCATTGGCTCTGTACACCTAAAACAGCAAAGTAAAAGAGAAAAGAACTTCTGAGATAAGTGAACTCTTCTTGTCTTGCCTTTCTATTCAGTACAAATCCCCAAAGCATCTAAACTTCTCAAGAGAATCCCATCTAGAATATAAGCATGATGGCATTTTATATCAAATAATTGCATTTGGATAACACAATAATTTATATTAAAATATATGCATTACAAACTTTAGAAGTATATTATACAAATAGAAAGAGCTCCAATTACCAGATTAAAAAATACATGTATATGCTATAAAATGTGCAAATAATATAAAAATTTATATAAAGCAATAATCAACTTACCTTTCCCCAAATTTCCTTCAGATCACTAGTTTCAAGAAATATTGCCTTTCTATGGCTTTTCTCTGTCCCAGGTTTTTATATATATATATATATATATATATTTTTTTTTTTTTTTTTAGTTGTCAATGGACCTTTATTTTATTTATTTATATGGGGTACTGAGAATTGAACCCAGTGCCTCACACATGCTAAGCAAGCGTTCTACCTGTGAGCTACCACCCCAGCCCCCCGACCCCCACTGTCCCATCTTTTAAAAATGTTCTTAAAACAATTTTATAGGAAGCATTTTGGAACATCAAGGAAAGGACCTCCACAAAGCTCCACCATAAAAGTGGTAAAAATTGTAGCAAAAATTGTCAAAATCAACTTCTACAAAATCTGGAAAGTAACAATAGCTTGCAACATTAGGAGAATCCTTTATTCATGAAAAATAGCCAAATGTGGGTAAAAACAGTGAGCTCTAACTTGCCCTATTCCTATCCCACTCATCTGAGTTCTGTAGTTGCATTAAAAACCAACAAATGCAGGCTAGGGTTGTGGCTTAATGGTAGAGTGCTCGTCTTGCACGTGTGAGGCCCTGGGTTCGATCCTCAGCACCACATAAAGATAAATAAAGGTATTGTGTCCATCTACAACTTAAAAAAAAGAAAAAAATTAAAAAAAAAAAAAAAACACCAACAAAGGCACAATTACAGTAGCTGTGGAAACCCTTAGCCCAACAGTGAGCCCATAGATAAAGGAGGTGGAACAGGTTTGGAGCTCCCTACCAGCCCCATCTTCAGATAATCTTCTGGAAGCTTCCCAAAAAGCTCCATCCCTAAGTCTTGTCTCCATCAGACCACACTCAGAAAATTACTCAATAATTACAGGTATATCTCTATAGTCGTTCTTAAAAATAATCGGCAGTACTTATAACACACAGCTACCAGGGGTAGCATTATCAGTTGAGGCAAACAAAAGTCTAATCAAAAACATGTTAAAAAGAAAAAAGAGGGCTGGAGATGTGGCTCAAGGCATGTGTGCGGCCCGGGTTCGATCCTCAGCACCACATACAAACAAAGACGTTGTGTCTGCCAAAAACTAAAAAAAAATAAAAAGAAAAAATTTTTAAAAAAGAAAAAGAGATTTCCACAGGGAGATTTTTTTTTAAATCTCCCAAATATTGCTTGGAACTTGCAAGGCCAATTGTGTGCAAGACTGAACAGATGCCCAGGAAAGACCTAAAAAGGTCCTAATCTCTCACCTCTGACTGACCTTGAGGTTCTTCTCAAGGAAGAAGTAAAGCATAAGTCAGAGAATACATGAACAGAAAAAACAAGAAATCCAAGAGGGACTGGGAGGCTGATTTCTAGAATTGCCACATCATACAATTTTAAATGTCCAGTTTTTGACAAAATTATAAGACAAACACAGAAACAGGAAAGTATAACTCATACACAGGGGAAAAATAGCCAGTCAAAACTGTTCCTCAGGAAGCTCAGTTGTCAAAGACAAAGACTTTAAATCAGCCATTTGAAATAAGTTCAAAGAACTAAAGGAAACCATGCCTAAAGAATGAAAAAAAAAAAAAAGAGTATTAGAAAAAAGACTTTTAAGAAAATAGCAATAAAGAGAAAGATATAAAAACAGAAGTAAATAGAAATTCTGGAGTTGAAAATGTAATTACGGGGGCTGGGATGTAGCTCATTGGTAGTGCGCCTGCCTAGCATGCACAACGCCCTAGGTTTGTTCCCTAGCACTGAAAAAAGAGGTAGGGGAGAAAGAAACAAAGAGGAAAAAACGAGGAAGGAGGAAGGAAAGATGAATGGGAAGAAACAGAAAGAGAGGGAGGGAGAATGAAGGAAGGAAGGAAGTTCATGAGAAGGGCTCAACAGCAGATGTGAACTAACAAAAAAATAATCAATAAATTTAAATATAAGTCGATTAAGATTATCCAGTCTAAGAACAGAAAAACAGAATGAAGAAAAATAAAAAGCATCTCAGAAAACTGTGGCTTTTAAAGTGCAAAAAAAAAAAAACAAAACAAAACCCTATCCAACCAAGAATTCTATATCCTGCACAGCTAATCCTCTAAAACTAAAGGAGAAATTAAGACTTTTCAAACAAAATAGAAAATGCCCTACAAGAAAAATACTAAAGACAGTTCTTGAGACTGAACTAGGAAGACAGTAGATAATAATTCAAATCTATAAAAAGAAATAAAGAATACCAGTAAAGGTAATTACATAAGTTAATATGAAAGAAACTGCAAATACATTTTTGTTTGTAACTCTTTTCTTCCATCTGATTAAAATACAACTGTATTTGACATTAATTCTGAATCTGTGTTGATGGGCATGCAGTGTATAAAGGTAATTTGCATGACAACAGCAGAAAGCAGGAGAGAAAGTGAAACTAAATAAGATCAAAGATCTGTATAGTATTGAAGATACCTTAATAGTCATAAAAACGAAATCTTTAAAAATTATAATGGCAACTCTAATACCCAGAGGAATTAAAGAGAAAATAACAATATAGAGTAAAAATATGAAAAGGAAATTAAAATGGTACACTAGTCAATATCTACTGAACACAAAATAAGGAGTCATAGAGAAATAGAGAGGCAAAAAGAAGACTTGGGCTGGGGATGTGGCTCAAGTGGTAAGCTGCTCGCCTGGCATGTGTGGGGCGCTGGGTTCGATCCTCAGCACCACATAAAAATAAAATAAAGATGTTGTGTCCACCAAAAACTGAAAAAAAAAATCTCTTCTCTCTCTCTCTTTAAAAAAAAAAAAAAAAGAAGACTTAAAACATAGAAAGCAAGCAGCAAAATGGCAAACATAAATTCTATTTTATCAGTAATTACATTCAGTGCAAATGGATTAAAAGCTCAAAATAAGTGGCAGAGATTGACAGAACAGATTTTAAAAATATCCAGTTATATATTACTACAAGAAACACACTTTGCATTCCATAACACAACGTGGTTATAAGTAAAAGGCTGGGTAAAAAATATGGTATGCAAACAGTAAGCAAAAGAGAGCTGGAGTGACAATAATAATTTCAGACAGAAGAGATGTTAGAACCAAAATTGTTATTAGAGATACAGAGGATATTTAATAATGATATAAGGCTTAACCCATCAAGAAGATAAAGGAATGAGAAAAACAGGCAACTGAACAATAATACTTAAATACTTCAGTACTGCATTTTTGATTCTAGAATAATTAGGAAAGTCAATGAGGAAATAGAATACTTGAATAACACTGTAAATCAACTAGATATAACAGACAGCTATAAACCATTTGACCCACCCAACAACAGAAAAATAAACTTTCTTTTCAGATACACATGGAACATTCTCAAGGACAGACGGACCATATGTTAGGCCATAAAACAAGTCTCAATAAACTCAAAACGACTGAAATTATACCAAGTATGTTCTCCAACCACAATGGAATAGAATTAGATATCAATAATATAGCAAATTTTGCAAATATGTAGAAATTAAACTGCCCTCTCTTAAATAACCAAGGAATCAAAGAAGAACTATGAGAGATGTTATAAAATACTTTGAGATGAATGAAAATAAAAACACAGCATCAAAAACTTATTGAATAAAAAATAAAGATCAGTGAAGGAGTCGACTGGGGCTTAACGCTGTGTGTGTGTGTGTGTGTGTGTGTGTGTTATAACAAATTTATAAGTAAAATGGATTTAGCTCTTACATTTAGATCCCTAATCCACTCTGAGTTAACTGTGTATATGGTGAAAGCAAGGGTTCACAGTCACTCTTTTGCATGTGACTAGTCAGTTATAGCAACATCATTTGTTTAAAAGATTATTCTCTTCCCACTTGAATGGTCTTGATAGCCTAGGTAAAAACTAATTGGTTGTAAATATAAAAGTTTATTTCTATACTCTTAATTCTTCTGTGTTCATCTATATCTCTAACCTGCTGCTAATACCATACTATTTTAATTACTGTAGCTCTATAGGAAGTCTTGAAATTGGGGAGGATGAGTCCTTCAATTCAATTCTTTTTCAAGATTGTTTTGGATATCTGGCAATTCCATTCAAATTTTAGAATTAGCTTTGCAATTTCTATAAAGAAGCCAGCTGGGATTCTGATAGGGATTGAACTAAATTTATGGATCAGTTTGAAGAATATTGCCATCTGCACAATATAAAGTCTTCTGATCCATGAACATGGAATTTTTTCCCATTCATTTTGATCTTTTAAAATGTCTTTCAACAATATTTTAAAGCTTTTATAGTATTCATTTTGCACTTTCGTTTTAAATTTATTCTTAAATATTTGAATTTTTAGATGTTATTGTAAATTGTTTTTTAAATTTCATTTTCAAATTGTTCATGTGAAATACATAGAAATATAATTTATGTCAACTAATCTTTAATACTGCATGAGAACTTGTTTAGTAGTTCTGATAGTCTTTTTGTGTGTGTTTGTATATATGTGTTCCTCAGGATTTCTATATACAATATCGTGTTATTTGCTATTTTATTTCTTCCTTTCCAATTGGATATGTTTTCTTTTTCTTGACTAACTGCCTGAGCAAGAACCTCCAATAAATGTTGAATAGAAGTGATGAGAAAGGACATCCTTGCATTCAGATATTCACCAAGTATATACTAAAAGCCATGGGAGGCCTTTATCAGGTTGAAAACATTTCCTTTAATTCCTAATTTGATGCATACTTTTATCATGAAATGGTATTGTATATTTATCCTATGTCTGCTGAAATGACCATGTGGTTTTATGTATTTATTCTCTTAATATAGTGTATTACATTAATTGATTTTTATGTGGCAAACCAACCTTACCGTTCTTGTGATAAATTCCACTTAGCCATGATATTTAATCCTTTTTAAATGTTGCTGGACTGTGTTTGCTAGTATTTTGCTGTGTATATTCAGAAGGGACTTCATTCTGTAGTTTTTTCCCCTCCCTCAGAATGTCTTTTTGATTTTGGAATCAGGGCAATATTGGCCACATGAAATGAGTTGGGAAGGTTTCCACCTTTTTTATATTTTAGAAGAGTTTGGGAAGGACTGGTTCCTCTTTCAGCATTTGATAAAATTCATCAGTGAACATGTTTGAGCCTGGACAATTTCTTTGTGGAAAACTGTGATTCAATCACATTATTGGTTACAAGTCTACTTAAGATACTTAAGTTGGTTTCAGTTATTTGTGTGTAGAAATTTCTCCATTTCTTCTATATTATCTAATTTGTTGGCATACTGTTGTTTATAATATTTCTTCACAAACTTTTTATTTATATAAGATTGGTAGAGTTGTCCTTTCATTTCTTATTTTAGGAATTTAGCTGATCTTTTCAAGAAAAAGATCATTTATTTATTTCCACTGTAATCTTTTTCTTTTGTTTCTTTTTCGGTACCAGGGACTGAACCCATGGGTGCTTAACTGCTTAACCACAGAGCCACATCCCCAGCCCTTTTTATTTTGAGACAGATCTCACAAAGTTACCTAGGGCCTCACTAAGTTGCTGAGGTCAGCTTTGATCCAGTGACCCTCCTGACTCAGCCTCCCTAGTTGCTGTGATTATAGGACTGCTCCATTGCTTCATCCAGCTCCACGCTAATCTTTATTATTTATTCCACCCTGCTTGCTTTTGGCTTAGCTTACTCCTTTGTCTCTGGTTTCTTAAGGTAGAAGGTTAAATTCCTGATGAGATTTTTTTTTATCAATATATGTATTTTAAGCTATAAATTTCCTCCTTAGAAATGTTTTAGCTTTTATTCTTTTTCTACTTATAATTGATATTTATAAACATATTTATAATGCACAACATAGAAATAATCATATATGTTATGTATTCGTATAATGCAGATAAGAATGGTTAGAACCAAATAGAAATATAACCAGTGTTGGTGAGAATGTGGTGGAACTGGAACCCTCATATATTGGCTGTTAAGAATACAAAATGGGGGGCTGGGGATGTGGCTCAAGCAGTAGTGCGCTCGCCTGGCATGTGTGTGGCCCGGGTTCGATCCTCAGCACCACATACAAACAAAGATGTTGTGTCTGCCGAAAACTAAAAAATAAATATTAAACACAGAGTTATCATATCGCCAAAAATTCTACTTGTAGGCATATTTCCAAGAGAATTTAAAACATATACCCACCTGAAAAACATTGAATGTTAATAGAAGCATTATACATAACAGCTAAAGAGATACAACTAAAATGTCCATCAATAGGTCAATGGAATACTATGAAGACATAAAATGGAATGAGGTCCTGACACACACAAGAACAAACCTTGAAAACATTGTGCTAAGTGTAAAAATCCAGATATAAAGGCCCACATATTACATGACTCTGTTATTTAATACATCCAGAATATGCAAATCCAAAGAGATACATAGTGGCCAGTAGGCAGAAGGAATGCGGAAAGAGTACTCACAGGTATGGGATTTCTAAATTTAAATAGTTATGATGGTTATACAACTCTGAATATGCTTAAAAATATTGTCATCTACACTTCAAATTCATGAATTTTGCTTACTATGCTTTACATATCAACAAATCTGTTTTTTAAACAAAGTTATGATAATTAATTACCAAAACTTTTCACATACATATACAGTCGTGCCTCGGTATCTGCAGGCATTGGTTTCCAGGACCCTCAAAAATACCAAAAGCCACAAATGCTCAGTCTATCATATAAAATGGTATAGTATCTACACAGAACCCACACATATTGTCCCAAATACATAAATCATCTCTACATTATTTATAATGCCCAATACAACATTAATGCTATGAAATACAATTGCTATACTGTATTATTGAGACAATAATGACAAGAAAAAACTCTGTTCATGTGTAGCAGAGACATGATCACTGCAGGCTGAACTACACAGTACCAAGCTGGGCTTGGCTGAATCTGCAGATGCAGAACCTGTAACTATGAAATTAATTATACGTCAACACTAAAAATCAAATTAGGATCCTATTCTTACCCAGTGGTTCTTTAAGTCTTTCTGGTTATAAAGAAAACGACCTACAGTGGGTAAAAGGAAATGAATGCTTCTGTCCTGGAAGCCAGGGACCCTGTAGCTCCTCGGACAGAACATGTTCCATGGAAGGGCTCTTGTCATTAATCTCCTGACAACTTGATCTGATTCATGGAAACTGGATTTTTTTCAGTAAGAAATGTAGTCCATGGCCATCTTCCCTATTCTGCAACTATGACACAGTGACCTACTACTTTCCCTTCCACCCTTAAAATAACTTTCAGTCCTATGATCCTATATATATATATATATATATATATATATATATATATACACACACACACATACATATGTGTATATATATATATATACACACACACATACATATATGAATTTTGCTTATTATATACATATATGCATATGTGCATATGTATACACAAATGTATATATGTGTTTGTATATATTAAACCTCTCCCCTCATCATTGGGCAGAACATCCTGTTCACCACTAGCATTTCCCACTCCTTCTCTAATCTCACCCTCCTGGTCACAGAGATGTGTTCCACCCCTTAATGTGCCACATGGAATTGCTGAGTCTTTAATTAAGATAAATGCCATTTAAAATGATAAGTTACCAAAGGTGTAAGATACACCTACAAAACAGGGGTATGTGGGCAGAGCGGTTGGCAGGGTTTCCAAAGGTAGACAAAAAACTTTGTGGAGTTTTCCAGGTAAGGTACAGGCCAAAAGAGAACCAAGGGAGAATTTGAAAAAAAAAAAAACTGCTCATTTTTACTTTGCTTGTTTTCTATGCATCCTTCAGCAGAGCCTTTTCAATCCTGTTGCCTGGATTAAGTGTAACACACTTTCATAGGCACCCTTTAATTTTAGATCCTGACCTTTGTCCTCCTAATTCCTATGAAGGAAACTAAACAGGCAAATGTTTACTCAGAGATTATATTTTTATAAAGAAGAATATAGGACTTACCACTCTCTTTTCCCTAAAATCGATGCCCACTGTCGTGATAAATTTGGAATTAAATTTACCATCTGTGTACTGGTAAAGTACACTGGTCTTCCCTACTCCAGAGTCTCCCAAAGCTAAAAACTTGATGAGGTAATCATAATCTCCATCAGACATAATGAAGCACTCAGTGATTCACCTGAAAAATATAAACAAATGAATATTTATTAAAGTCTATTAGAAAACATTAAGTTGTGGATGTGTAACCGATGTGATTCTGCAATCTGTATTTGGGGTAAAATTGGGAGTTCATAACCAACTTGAATCTAATGTATGAAATATGATATGTCAAGAGCTTTGTAATGTTTTAAACAACCACTAAAAAAAGGAAAAAGAAAACATTAAGTTATCCATTAACAAAGTGGCCACTTAATATTCAGTTCAACAGGGACTGGGGTTGTGGCTCAGTGGTAGAGCGCTTGCCTGGCATGTGTGAGCCTGGCATGTGTGAGGCCCTGGGTTCGATCCTCAGCACCACATATAAATAAAAAAATAAAGTAAAAACTCCATTAGCAACTAAAAAATATTTTTTAAAAAATATTCAGTTCAACAAGTGCTTCTATATAAAACCTATGTATCTAGTCATTCAGTGAAGAGAGGGTTACATAGTGTTCACTTTCCCTGAGGACCTAATAGTTCACTAAATGAGATGCTACTGAAATAGTAAATAACAGTTTAGTTTTCATTTAACATACATATTATACTACCAATGAGAATGATAATCAGTAATAAGAAAATATAACAAAAACTGATAAGAGAAAGGAGGAAGGACAATATTTTAAGGTATCATAGAAATACTTAGAGTGCAAGTGGTTTCAATTCTCCCTCTTTTTCAGTTTTCTAGTGCTAGATCACTAGCTTTTCTTTTTATTTTGACAACTAAGCAATTTCATTTATCCTATTCATTTTTACATGTTATTAAAGTTCCTTCAAAGACATTGCTAATTCATAAGTAAAATTTGACTTGTGGCTCCTTTATGCCTTATTAACATATACTATTTACTAAATCAGAATTCTTGGAATATTACTGCTTACTGAGTTTCATATTGTGGCTATTAATACTCAGATACCACAGGTCTGCAGCTAAGGGCTTATTTACCTACACCTACACCTGATATTCTAACAAAACTGCTGAAAATTCAGTTTCTCAGTACTGACTAAAATAAAAGTCCACCTTAAAGAAGAAAATTTTGTTTGCACCAGCAATACCTAACCATGGTTATTTTGGGTCCTTTACCATCATTGTTTTGCATTATTTGTTTTTTATCTTCTAAATATATGTCAATCCAAAATATTAGTCCAACTAGAAATGAAGTGTTTCCCTGGGAAAGGTCTATTTATTTTTATCCCTCTATTTCTAATGCCAATAAACTCTCCTGAAAAATCAGAAAAATAACCAGCTATCCCATTACCACTGACAACTCTACCTGCCCATTTAAATGCACATATTTACCCATCCACACACATGCCAGACACCCTCTATTAGATGCTGCTGATTTTTCTCTCATTGTCCTTTCCACAAAGGCCCATATTCTGAAACTTTGCTCTAATACTCAATGCTTTCTAGAGGTTTGTTTCTATAGATATATAATATTAGTAAAATCTCAGGCAAGGACATTTTCTGATTTTCAAGATTGCCTCCCCCAACCCATCCTCAACTTAATAACTTACCTTATGCTCAAAAATCCTAATGTTGATACTTAAGATTCACTGCAAGGTACTTCCTCAGAGAGCCTTAGTGCAGATCTGGGACCTCACATCTTAGACATGACTGACCAGTGGATAAGGGCAGAGCCTCTACAAACATTCATAGTACTGTTTGCACACTATACAGGGTGGCACTTTACCAAGGAGAGCTTCCCATGTTAATAGCTTCTGTATGCAGGTGTGGGTGACCAGTATTAATGACATGCAACAGAAGTCCTCTCTAAAAGATGACTACTTGAGTATAAACATCTCCACAAGGCCTATCATAGCACCTCACTTGGTTCCAAGTTATTCAGAAATAAGAGCTAAGAATTAAAAGCAGGTCCAGATAACACTTGGGCATTTGAGAACAGGGGCAAAGTTGGAGTTCCCCTCAAATTGAAGCAGAAAGCAGCTCCAATCTTACAATAAGAATGTAAAAGAAGACACACTGTGGCTACCTTATTTCCTCTTTTAACTTGGAAAAATTGGTCATTTCTATGTTTTTATATCAATTAAGACGGGAGAAAAGGTTTCTACCAATAGAATCAATACTCTAGAACTTTCTAAACCCATTTGAGTGGAATTTAAAGACTTGGATGAAACTATTTCTGCTCTACCAATAATTAAATGTGTTTAGTTTCCATAGGTGAAAAATCATATAGGTAAGTCTGCTAATGATCTTTGAGTTTTGTTTTCTACTCATGATAAAATACTAACCAAGGCATCATTCAGGAAAAACTAACAAAGTTCCACAAATCAAAGATTTAGATACCATCAACATTAATCATAGTTTGCACTTTTCAGACTGCACATGCCTGTTTTTTTCAATTTGAAAATAAATACTCAGACCTTTGACTCTCTGGGTTTGGCTTTCTAATCCTAAAGAAAGAAAATAGGTGTTTGATGAGTATGTAAAGACCAGGGCCAAGGAAGAATGCAGGAAAAAGAAAACCAAAATAATGTGATCTGAGTTTGGTTCTCTAAAGATAACACAGAACCCAGAAAGGTTGACTGGTGTGCACAGCCTAGAACTTTGCTCTTCTGATTGACAGTGCAATGTCTATCCTACCCAAAGCTTCATGTCGGTTGCTCTTTTCTTCTTAAGGCATACTGGGCTTAAAAGTGGGCAGTGGTATGATATCTTATAAGTAAGAAACACATGGAGTCAAGCAAAACTGAGTCTGAATCCCAAACCTTCCATCTACCAACTACTTGGATGTCTCTGAACCGTAGATATCTAGGTTTCCATTCTACAAAAAGGAAGCTAACACTGACTACCTGAAGGCTGAAGAAGATACTGTTTGTGGTATGCTCAGAACAACACTTAGTATATACTAGTTCTCAGTAAGTGTTGGCTCACTCCCTTCCTATTCTGGACATCAGACTGGCTCTGAAGACCCAGAACAATTTCTAAAATTGTATCTGGTCACCTAAAAACATACTTTTCTAGCACAAAAGATTAGTTGATTTGTTCAGAGTAGTTTGCTGAGCCAACAAGGATCATTTTCAAATGAATTCTGATCTTTTTGTGGCTGCTGATAACCATTTACAATTTATTTTAAATAGATACCTCTATTTCAGAAGAGTTTGATCAACTTAAAAACAAATTCAAATTCATATAAAATACTCTCAACCATTTTAGTAAGCTTATATTTGTTCAAAAGAATTTGATGGGTTTATATTAATTTAGATTAATTTAAAGGACCAAATTAAAGTAGTTCTAAAAACTTTTGGTGGGGAGGAGCAGGAGGTACCAGGGATTGAACCCAGGTGTACTTAACCACTAAACTACATCCATACCCTTTTTATTTTGAGACAGGGTTTTGCTAAGTTGCTTAGTGTCTTGCCAAGTTGCTGAGGCTGGGTTTGAACTTAGATCCTCCTGCTTCAGCTTCCAAGGTCACTGGAATTACAGGTGTAGGCCACTGTGCCTTGCAATTTGGCACAATTCTTAGTTTGCCTGTGCACGTCTTGGCACGGGCTCAAAGCCAAGGCACAGCAGAGAGGGGAAATACTTATAGCTAAAAGCAAGGATTCTAGGACCAAACTCCCTAGGTTCAAATGCCATCGTATAACTTTGGAAAACTTATTTAACCTCTTTTGCCTCAGGTTTCTCATCTGCAAATGGGAGTGATATCCTATTTACTAATTATTCCTTATTAAATTCATTTTTTACATAAAAGTACACAAATTTATGGGGTAACCTGTGTTGTTTTGATACATGTATATACACTGCATAATGTTTAAACCAAGGTAAATATATCTATCTCCTCAAATATTTATCATTTCTTTCTAGTGAAAACATTTTTAAAAATCCTCTCATCTGGCTTTTTGAAATATATAGCACATTGTTGTTATCTATGTTCACTCTACTATGCAATAGCTCACCAGAACTTCCTATTCCTATCTAACTGCAACTTGATACTCATTGATCAACCTCTCCCCAGCCTTTGGTAACTGCCATTCTGCTCCCAGCTTGTAGGAGACCGACCACCTTACATTCCACATGAGTAAGATCATTGGTACTTGTCATCAGGTGCCTGGCTTAACATAACTCCTCCAGTTCCATCCATGTTGTTACAAATGACAGGATTTCACTCTTTTTTTTAATGGCTGAATAGTAATCCATTGTAGGTATATGCCACATTTTCTTTATTCTCTTAATTCGAACATACATATGGATTCTTATTTTAACATCTTTAAAACTGGGGTGCATTTTATACTTCACAGTCTAACAATGCAAGACAGTTTGCAACTGCTCTTTTAAATCAGGTGTCCCTGGAAATACAGTTGTGTGGAAAACCTTCCATTAGCATCTTCTAGCAAGATCAAGAAAGTTCCACCAACACATTTTGATGAAGCACAATAGTTAAGCTATCTCAGAGAACTATTGTAAGGATTGGGCTAGCATTAAGGTTTAGAACAGTGCCTGGCACACAGTGAGTCTGTGTAAATATTAGCTCTATCAACAGCAGCATCTAGCACTCTAGCTTCCATGGGTCAACATGCAGGCAATATTCCTTCCTTTCCTAGAACCATAAGAAAGTACACTGAGTTCCTAAACTAAAAAGTGAAAAAATAGAAAATAATGACCTGTTAAAAGCATTTGAACCTGAGGGAACACATTGGTTACCTTGAGGAAATAATGTCTAAATACCTTAAGGAAATTTCTTCGAGGGACCCCAGTTTGGGACACACGAAAGACTTTCTCCTTCAGCTCACTTCTGTCTCTCCTCCTTACACAAATATTTTTCCAAAGTGCTCTCCACCCTCATTCTCATCAAACTAACAATAGAAAGCAAGGAACACCCACTTCCTCAACATGTTCTGTGTGGTGATAGTTGCCTGGTGAGAGAAAGTCAGGGATCTTCTTCCTTATTTAAAAAATAAAATACATCTTAATAGTTTTTCAGGGAATAAGAAGAAAATGACTTCAATTAAGAGGAAAGGAGAAATATCTTCTCTCTCTCTCTCTATCTCACACACACACACTCAAATTCTCCATGAGGCTTCATGTTAAAGTCAATCACAGAATCCAACCTTAAGTTCTCCTATCATTAGGCAGAATCATTCTAAACTACTCTAGGTAGACCAGCTACTTTTTGAAAGATAAATTTTCCCTCACTTGCCTATGTTAGTAGAGAGAATAAAAGAAGGGGGAGAGATAATATTAACTGAAACGCTACCATTTGTCATAAATGATACTCTAGACAAATAGTACTCTAGACATACAGAATTTTATTTTATCTGATCATCATCCTTAAAGATAATTTAATGTTTGTACAAGATTTACACCACCTAATGATGATGTGTTCTCAGTGTGATGACATGTAGGTTTGGGTTCAAATTCTAACTCCTCTATTCTGTATAATCTGGTCCAAGTTCTTTAAATTAAGCTCCATTCTTTCAGCTATAAAATGGAATTGACAACATTAATAACCTTGCTAGATTGTTTTAAAGACTAAGTGAGATAATCCACCAAAAAAATTTAAGCACGTTGTTTACCCTGTGCTTTCAGTCATTGAAACTTAGTATTAGCTAACTGTTAATAACTTCAGAAAAAATCATAGAAAGAAATTAAATTTAGGTGCCATCACTTTTGGGGTCTCTATCCATCAAAAAAGTTACTTTGGTATTCTAATATCTGAGTTTTTTGTTGTGGTGGTGGTTGTTTAACCTTTATTTTATTTATTTATTTTTATGTGGTGCTGAGGACTGAACCCAAGAGCTGGGCATTTTCTCCAGTTGAATGCTCTATGTCCTCACAGAGGAGGAAACAGGCCCAGAGAAGGAAAATGAATGGTCTGAAACAAACCAGCTAAGTTAGCAAAGGTGCTGGGCTAGGTTCCAAGTCTCCAAAAATTCCCAATCCTTATTTTTTTTAAAGTGTCCAATCATTTTCTAATATATTTTGTTTTGTCTGTATTCTTTCCTTCAGGGCTAGAAAACTTCGTTTTAGTTGTTTTGAATCAGGAATTAAAAGCTATCAGTATGAATGTAATGTACTCCTCTATTGTGATCTATGTAAGAAATAATAAAATAAAATAATTTTTTTAAAAAAGCTATCAGGAGTGCCAGCAGCTATAATGACAAACAGCTTTATGACTGAAGTTTGGACTCAGAGATGTTGGCATGAGGGATCTGCACATCCGCTCTTGTAGGCCTTCTATCAAAATGCCCTCCTTCTGCCAGGTTCCCCCAAAGAGAAAAATTATAAATAGGAGACTTGCTATTTTTTAAAAAAATAGCAATATTTTTTAAAGTGACTCTTCAGAATCATCTCCCATAATCTTTTTTTTTAGTTTTTCATTATATCTTCAAAAGATTTTATTAAGAAATCAAGTCTCCTAATTCTTTCTTTCTTTATTTTTTATTCTAATTTGTTATATATGACAGCAGAATGCATTACAATTCATATTACACATATAGAGCACAATTTTCCATAAGTCCTTGTTTGTGCATTCTTTCCTATGGTTCCAAAATGAAAAGAAAGCAGAAAAATCATAAAAGCTTTCACTTCCATGTAGATTTGCTCAGCCCTTTAGCATTCTCCTCTTAAAGCAAGATTATTTTCCCTGGTACTGCCTCAACTTCTCTATAAAGATATATCCTCTGGTCCTCTCACTCAAGTGTTCATTCAACAAATATTTATTGAATATCTATTATGCACTTGGTGCCAGGGTACAGTGGGGAGTCAAGGCAGTTACCCTCAACATGAAAAAGCATTTTTTCCACCTCAGACCTTTCATTTTAGCAGCATCCCAATTTTAATTCTCTCAGTGACTATACCTGCCTTTCAGTTTTCAAAGAAGCCAATCCTTATGAATGTGTTGAACTTCTCTCACAAACAGTGCAACACAACAGCCATGTTCATACCCCCACATGGCTTTTTCCCTGCAGACACATGCACACATCACATGTCTGGCACAAATGTGAAGATATGAAAGGAATAAATACACAAAGCTCAACAGAGAACAAAAAGAAGTTTTTAGAAAGAGAAGCACAAAGCCAGGCGAAGTGGTGCACACCTAATCCCAGCAACTTGAAAGGCTGAGACAGCGGAATTGTGAATCCCTTAGCAATTTAGGGAGTCTCAAAAAATAACAAGTGCTGGGGATATAACTCAGTACCACAGAGTGGGGGTGAAGAGGGAGGGAGAGAAAAAGAAACATGGGATATATTGTAAAGAATTTTGGTACCTGAAATGTTTTGAATATTTTAAGATGGTTAATCAAATACCACAGTGTTCCTCTGTAATTTAGGGACTTCACTTTCCCCAGCCCAAAATCCCAAAATGCTTTTTTTTTTTAATTGTCTGTTTGTTTTTGTTTTTGTTTTTTTGACTGAGGATATTGAAATTAAGGGCACTTTACCACTGAGCTAGTCCTTAGTCCTATTTTTTTTTTCTTTTCTTTTCTTTTTTTTTTTCCTTTTGCACTTTAGGGCCTTGCTAAGTTGCTGAGACTGGCCTCGAACTTGTCTGTATTCCTCCTGCCTCAGCTTCCAGAGTCACTGGGATTGCAGGCATGTGTCACTAACTCATGTGCCACTGTGACCAGCCCCAAAATGATTTTTATGAAGATATAGGAATGTGTAAATATAAGTATTACTCAGGTAACAAAACATTAGCATGTTTGAGAACTATATTGCCACATGTTCTTTTATACAATTAATGTTCCTTATCTAGGGATTCATTTAGGGAAAAAAATGTTCACCTACCAATGACTGTCATAGGAATATAAGTTTTATCAGTGTTTTTATGTTTAATGTTAAAAAAGCATTGACTTTTCTTTTTTGTTTATTTTATGATGTCACTATTGACCCATCTTGGTGTTCTGAGGGGATACATAAAATAAACACAGCAGACAAGGCAAGAAAAGTCACATGGAGTAAGGCAGGATAAGAATCATTTTATAATGTATGAAGAGATGAGCTGGGACAACTTGTTTACCAAATGAGCCCTGTCTACAACTCTCTTAAGACCACACAAATCCTACACCCTGAGGTGAAACAGAGCTACTTTCACTACAAAAGCAATACACACACTACCCTACAGCAGAGACCCCCCACTTCCACAAGAGGAGACAGCTGTATCCTCTGTGCACAATTCGGTTCTAGATATGAGTAGATATGCTTCTAACCTCCTGGATAGGTCCAGAATAAAACATGAGAGAAGACAGACAAAGATTGACATCCTGTTGGTGCAAAAATCTCAGGCAGAGAGAAGTAAGTGGAAATACAACAGCTTTGAAAATTAGAAAGAAATTGGAATCTGGCTCTTTCTGGTCTCCTGATTGAAAGATGAGTTTGATCTTATCCAAATTGATAATATGAGAATACAACTAGATTTTTTTTTCATGTGAACCATTTTATTCAATCATGCCAAGGAAGCATCTGAAATACAAATTCAAAATAATTCAGGCCCATATTGAAAATAGTGTCCTGATAGTTTCCAGAATGTTACTCAAAAATATAGAACACTTCATGAATTTGAGTGTCATCCTTGCGCAGGGGCCATGCTAATACTCTCTGTATTGTTCCATCTTTAGTATATGTGCTGCAAAGCAGGCACTGCAACTAGATTTTAACTGCATTATGTATTCACCTATAACTTGTGATTTATAAACATATTCTCATAAATGCAGTATTTTATAGTAATATCAGAGATCCATCTTTGACATTGAAAAGAGCTATTCATGGCTGAAAACGGACAGGATCTAAATTCACTTGATTAAATATTTATTAAATCAAGGTACCTGCTCCATAAAAATACTCAGTTTTCTCCATGTAAATGAGGTAAAAAGACTAAATTTGGCAGATGTTGATATTCCAACATCACAATTCTTTTCAGAGAAAAAATACTCTGCAAACAGTAGTGAATGAAATAGAAATTTCCACATGCTGTGAGGACCTTCAAACATATCCTCATTTGTAAAAGTTTCCTCCAGGCATTCATAAATTCTGTACAAGTATTAAAGAGAAAGACCAAGATGAAGAAAAAACAAGCAGTCCCAATCTAGGAGTCAGCCTACTATTTCTAAAATGTCCCTCCCTTCAGTGGGTGACCAATGAAACCCAGTAAGAAAGTAATATGAGCTGCACTATGTCAGGACAGGACACCAGAACAATTCCTGAAAGTCGGAGATGTTCTGGAAGACCATTGCCAATGGCTCCAGGAAGATAATAGCTTTCCTTTTAATTTATGGAAACCATTGACTCATTTACTGAGAAATCATAACTTGTGGCCCAAGCTTCTTTTAGGATCAGAAGATGAATGCTTATGGGGATTTAGGAAAAGTAAATTTACCAAAACACTGGGTACTGTAGCACTTTAACTTGTGACAAGTACCTCTTGCTTTATAGAGAAACAGGAAAAAAGCTCTCAATGTGTCATTTAAAAATATAGACAATACAGTGGGAATGGGAGGGGTTATTTGATTTGCTGAGTAATATCTCAAATAATGTGAAAGCAACTCCATCATGGACACAAACATACACCACTGCAATGGAATGAGCAACCCACAGTGTACCTTGAAGGACACCATGAAGCTGGGTGGTCTCCAAGAATTTGATTAAAAAATACAAAAGGTGTAAGGAGCTCTCCCATTCAGTGGTTGCTTTTTGTGGGCACTCAGAGGACAGTGAAACGTAGACTTTAGAGTCAGTGTTTTCTAAATTCAAAAAGCAGGACCCCACTAACTAATGGTATAAATGGAGCAGCAAAATGCCAGGTTGGGGATGAATAAATCATGGCTATTCATATGAGTATAATAGATAAGGCTGGAAGATCAGTGTTCAGGCCCTAAGCCTGATATTTTTCCTGCTATACCTTAAGAATGACATTGAAATATTATAAAGCTCTCAAAGAAAGGAGAAAAAATATTTTCTAAAAAAAAAAAAAATGGAAAAGGAGGAGTAACTCAAACTACCCAGAAGGTGGAATATCTTCAAGTTAATAGAGGGAATTCTGCTATTAACAGGATCTGAAGAGGTACAATGTGTGCCCATTAAGTTGCGGTGCCAGCAAATCTCTGGGCCCAACTCAAAGGCAGAAGGATCAGAAATGGCAGCACTGCCACTGTGGCCAGGTCAGAGAGGCTTTCTACCCAGGAAACACTCAAAGGACTTAAAGTCGGAAAGAGGATTTCCAAGATTCTAAAACACACAACACCTTTCTATTTTTGACCTAAAAAATGCAGTTGGGGCTTCCAACAAGACTAATCCTCTGACAACAGGAAATGTGCTATGAAGGCCTTGTACACACCCACCTGGCTCTCCTCTTGCAACCCACCTGCCTCAGGTTTTTCATATGCCGCAACACAGGACAGACCTTGATCTGTTAGGGAAAAATACCAACTCAAGAAGCAGCCCTTCATTTTGTGAAGAAGCAATGACACTTCTTTCATTCATTCCAAGAAAAACCTTTGAATTAGAAGATGCAAGAGCTGCTGGGATGATTACCCAAACAATAAAATAATTAGTCAAATACGCCTGAGTTAGCAGTAACTGGAGGGAGGCTCATTTATTATTGATTTTTTTTAAAAAAATGAGAATGAGTGTTCTATATTTATTCACCCCATCCAGAAATTGTGTCTAGAATATATACTACCCTGCCTTTCCAGACCCAACCATTGACACACCAGGGTGATGTCTTCACTGTTGTCTTATAATAATGATCTCTACAGTGGGCTATGATCATCAAACAAAAGGAACAAACCATTCTTTACTTTTCGGTGATGAGATGTGCTATAAGCTCACGGATAGGACCATAAATGCTAAGGGCTCCTGTCCCACATACCCTACTCCAAATATTAAGTTGATACATTGGTTTGACACAGAGATACTTACAAAGGATCCAAAATTCACCAAGTATTGCTTCACACCTCCCTTGCCTACCCCACACCCTCACCAACCACATCAGAGCAGGTCTATTCTCTGTCCTCAGTACATGGTGGCTTACTGAAGCACACAGGACTTACATCTCTTTCAGATGGTTTTTATTCCTACAGACAAACATCTGCCCTACCACACCCTCATGCTGCATTCTAAAGCCCTACTCCCAACATTTACTCCCATGCCACAGCTCCATCTATTCCCTTTTTCCTTCTCCAGCTCTCTTGTCCCTCATCACCAGCTGCTTTTCTCAATCTCCAGTTTGAGTGTGCAAAAACTGACCTTGTTTTAACAATGCCAGTCGGTGAATACATACACGCTTTCCTTGTAACACAGTGAGCTGCTGTGCTAACCTCGAGATGTTCAGCCCTCCTCAGTAAACTCTTATGCTACTGTGTCTTCTGGAAATTCTACTTTTCCAAAAAGAAAAAGAGTTCTCCCCAGTCACATGTGGGAATGGTGCCATTTCAGAAACCCAAGTGCTTTTCAAACCTCTTCCAGTTTCGTTTCACCATAATGTAAATGGAAGAGCAGCATACTGATATAAATTTATCATGAGTTTAAGACATTACTACCTGTGAATATTTTCACTATACACTAACTCAGTTTTTCTTTTTAAATTAAGCCATTTCCTGATGTTTTAAAACAACTGAAATAAAGATGCTAGGATTCTTAGCCTCTGCCATTAGCTATCAATAAGCTGTAGACAGCCAGCTAGATGCTTTTGTGGGCCTCTCTCCACTGATACATTTAAAATATGTGTTTAACTGCTCCCAGATATTATATTCCTTAATAGATGAATCAAAATGAAAGGGCAAAAATTTACCTAAGGATAAGGTCTAATGAGATATACTTCTTATTGCTTCTCAAGAAGTCTTTCTTTGCTCCACCTATTCCATACGCAGGGTCTTAGAATTGACTGTTTGCATTTCTGTCACAGCTGTGTATAGAATGAGGTGTGCCTTGAGTTATGCAAGGGCACTGAGGAACAACAATGGACCTGAAGCCATCCAATTTTCAAACCAACCCGGCAGATCACAGTTGGCTTTTTTAAATTATTATTGTTGTTGTTGATTTCTAATTATTACATTATAATTAGTAAATATGGTCTGCATAATATCAAATTGGGGGACTTTAAAATGAGTTATTTTATAAATGTTTTCAGTGGTTGCATGAAAGTAATTTGTGTGCCCTATGTGTTAGATGCAATATATATAACATTGTGTGTGTGTGTGTGTATTTGTGTGCGTATTCAAGCTACTTAGTTGTGATTTCTAATTTGTTATATCTTTTGGGGGGGAGGGGGATGCCAAGGATTGAACTCAAGGACACTCGACCACTGAGTCACATCCCCAGCCCTTTTTTGTATTTTATTTAGAGACAGGGTCTCACTGAGCTGCTTGTGCCTCGCCCTTGCTGAGGCTGGCTTTGAACTCATAATCTGCCTGCTCAGCCTTCCAAGCCACTGAGATTACAGGTATGCACCACCGCAGCTGGCTTTAATTTGTTATATCTTTATATCTTTGCTACCTCTTCTGCAAGTTTCTAAGAAAGGTATGTTTAAAACCTGGATCATACTTATTTTCAGAAAATAAACCCAAGGTAACATATTAAAGAGGATGAATATAGCCAGGCTCTATGGTGCATGGCTCGGGAGGTTGATCACTAGTTCAAAGCCAGCCTCAGGAACTTAATGAGACCCTAAGCAACTAAAAAGGACTCTGTCTCGAAATAAATTTTAAAAGGTGGGGTAGGGGCTGGAGATGTGGCTCAGTGGTTAAGCGCCCCTGGGTTCAATCACCAGTACAAAAAAAAAAAAACTATAAAGCACCATTAAATAACAAGGCTATATATAAATAATAATTAAGTGGCATTAAATCTGTCGGCTTCAATTTTGTTCTGAGGAAATCTGGAATTCATGGGGCTACTTTAAGAGTTCTAAAAACTTTTACTCAATTTTACTTTTTCTCCCCATTATCATTTTTTAACTGGAAAAGAAAAGTATACAATCAAATGAGTTATATACCAAATTTAAGAGACTTAACTTGTTTACTTACACTACTTTGCTATTATTTCTGCTTTTAGTGTATACATTGATATGTTAATTAACTTAGAAGGCTATAATTTATACTAGCTTTTTTTTAATTTTGTTTTGTTTTGGAATGGGGAGAAGGCTGGGGAATAGATTCACGTTTCCACTCATGAAATTATTTTAAAAAGCACGTGTGAGCCACACTAGATAAATGACAGAGAAGACTTGGGAACATGTGTTCAGCATGTCTTTGCATTCATCCTGTTATGACAGTCAGTTGAGCAATAAGGAATAAACATTAGACATTTCATCAGAACATTTTACTGTAGAGTACTTCGGAGGTGGCTTTATGTTTGGAAGCCTTCTTATCTGACTTCTATACATATAATAGAACTATTCTAAGTTCAGGCTACTTCTTGTCTACAGCAGATAAACGTCTTTGTGGCCAGCTCGATATTCCTGCGTAAGCTCTGAGGAAATCTGCATAATGTCATTGCAGCTAACCTCTCATTGCCTCAGAGAGCTGCTCTAGTCCAGCCGATTGCAAATTTTCTTTAGCAATAAAACTGTTTCTTCAAAGGAAACCTTACATAGCACCTCATCAAATAAGACCAATGAAAGTAGAACCATTCTAATGAAAGGAACGA